AATTCATTGCCGACAATGTGTTTCAGTGTGTACTGCAGAGGTAAAACAAATCACATCAATGCCACTGTGATGAAGAAAGCTGCGGGGAAAAAAATCAATTCACCATCAACAAACAGCGTCATCTGTGTTTTGCGATATATATCGTCACGCATGTGAATGTGTTGTGTGTGTTTTGTGATCACACCAAACCTCCATCTCCCAACACACACTCACCACCACCACAAACACATAGTCTCACGTATAACCATGATGTGATTTATGAGACCAGCGCTGGACGTTGCCCTGCAGGGTAATGCATTAAGCTCTTATCTGCCTCTCCTGTAGAAGGCAGGCCTCATATCATTTAGGAGAAGACTGTGGCCACATAAACCATTGCCACTAGAGAGTCATACACCCACAGAGCTGCAGAGAGAGCAGGAACACAACAAAAAATGCTTTGTTATTGATGGGAAGAAAGTCACTATGGCTGAGAGTGGTGTTTGAAATGTGTGTGAAATGTGAAATGTTGAGTGAGGTTAGAGAACAGAGCCTGTGTTGTTAAAAAAACAAACAACCATTTTGGAAGGAGATCAGATATGAAAGGTTATTGATAATTTAGTAGGCAAAAAACAGCCTTATCTTTGCCAGGGAATCTTTGAGGATGTATTGTGTCTTCAAAGACACCGGCAAAACACAACCTGTTAAGTCTGATTCAATCTAATAAGCTCCAACATAATCCTTTCACTTTGGTCTTCCCAGACTGAGGCGTTGGCTGAATACTAATAAAGCAGAGGTAGATAAGAGGAGACCCAGTAATGTTCTCTGTAACATCTTACTATCAGTAAACAAGCTGAGCTGTACAGCGGGCCTGATGTTGGTGTGTAGGTGTTGTGTTATACATAGAGAGAGAAAAAGTGTATAGAAAAAGATCATGTAGCTTTTACTCTTTCACGTCTGCAGCAGCTGCATCTAGTCTTCACACGCAGGAAGAATCAAAACCTAATCAAAGCCCGAGTTTACTGCTGGTTTATAAAGAATATAAACTGGAAGGGTTTAATCAATGCCATTCCTGAACAGCAAAGTAAAAAACTCGTTCACATTATTTCAAGTCTATCTTACAGTGGATATAATCAATATTTTTACTATTACAGTGTATCAACTGACAATGAGAAAGCAATGTGACAAAGCGAAAGCGGTCAAAGAGGCAATGATGACCTACCTTCCTTGCTTTGCTGTGAGTTTCAGCTCACTGTTGTCAAGTCCACAACTTTACTGTTTTGGTTCGCTGTCACTCTACAGGCAGCTGTTTTCAGTAAACAAGCTCTGAGAAACCCACCGTCTAGCTGGTGAACATGGTGGAGCATTTAGCTGCTAAAGAGCCAGATATTTCTCTCAGGAGTTGGTAGAGAAGAAAAACAGACCTGAAAGATGGCCAGTAACACGACTCCTAAATGAATTATAATGTTGCTCTGCTGGATGGGTAAATAAGCAAAGTTTGCCATATCAGCTTAAAAAGTATGTCAATGCACAACTATTTTCCGCTGCCCCAAGTGGCAAAAAACCCCCATTATGGCTGGTTTAATATAACACTTATATACTCGTTTGTACATGGAAAGAATTATGGGTCCTGTAATCGTTCGTACTGTCCATACTGGCCACACAACAATCTTTCTTTGAAGAGTCACTACACTGTAAGAAATGGTGGATAAAATTCATAGTTCGAAGGTATCTTCCAAAGATAGTGACAGACTGTGGATTTTGTCTCCTGTTTTTAACATTGTAGTCTCCATATGAAGGGATTGCTTGAAAAAATGAAACTTTCTGATCTGGTGCCAGGATGACTTTGATGATGTTTTTCTGCTTTCCAAAATGACCCATATAACTAAAATCATTATTATGAAAGAGATCTGATCTGAGATCTTAGAAAAACATTGGGGTCGTGATATAAAGACACCAACAATGACAGCTGGTAGGAGGCGGGTTGCGAACAGCTGTCTCTGGTGTCATTGTAGACAGTCTGGTGATTTTAAGTGAACAAACAAAGCTAATGAAAATAAATGCTTTATGGTGTATATGGTGTTGTTACTTGTTGCTTTCCCAAACTCAAGGCAAATCGTATCTCCTTTGTTCCTCTCTCTATCTTTGTCTTCAAGTGGATGTGTAAGTGAAAGGATAAGAGATGAATGGAGGCTTCCCACATTCATCTATGTCAGTTTAGTCCCTCCTTCATTTCCTGCCTCTGTCACTCCCTCTCCTCGAGTCTCCCGCTCACCCATGTTAATTTTTTTGGTCACCAAAAGTATACGTAGCAGCACACTTGGTCACATCGTCCGCATTCCACTCAGGGAAAAAAACTATAATTAGAGTCGTCTGAATTCGGGTGAATTCCTCCTGTCTGTCCCTCAGGTATAGTGTAGAAGTTGATCTGCTATCTGAGGGCCCCCGCAAGTTTGGAGTGCAAACTCCTTCTGACCTGATTGAGTTGGCTGGAAATGGAGCAGATGTCTCCAGATAGTTAACCGTAGCTCTCTTCTATATCTGGGTAAACACAGACAGAGCAGATGCACAGTGGCCTCACAGAGACAGCTCAAACATGAAATATCACTAAAGTAAATCCAGGCTGAAGCAATATAGTCTCATAGCCGACATGTAAAGAGTGGGTGAGATGGTACAAGAACTTACGTAAGTGGTGTAACATTTTACGAAAATTGAAACTGAATGTCATTTCCTTAATTCTGCGGGACTGACTTCTTAAGATAAAGTCTACTAGCTAAAACTGCACAAGGTGATAATGTACCATACCTGGACTGCCACAAATGACAGAGGTCACAGGTCATCACATCACAAGTAAATAAACAGCTTAACGACAGTAAATGATACGTGATAGTAATTGCAGAACCTTTCCACATCATACTTTTTATGAAAAACAACCTGCACCTCCTTGAACTCTGCTTGTAGTATAGGTAATCTATCAAAGTCAACACTCTGTTTTTTAATGAAGTTGCAAGCAGGTGCCATTTAAAAAAACACTCTCCTTGTTGATGTGTTCAAGGACACTCTGGCACCTGAGATTTGCAAAGCAGCAGGCTGCAGAAAAGCGGACCATTCATGAACTACGTTCTCAATAACCCAGAAGGCAAACTAGGACACTGTGAAAAACATAATGAGAAATTGATTAAAGCAACGTTATGTAGTACTTTTATATTAAAATATTAACAGCTTCAAAATCATAATGATGGTACACTGACTTATAATAGGGAGAATGGCGTCTCTGTCATTTGTAATTGTAAAAGAAGCGCCTCTTACACCAGAGTATTTCAGGGGAGTGAATGTTTTGGTTCCGACTGACAATGTTGATACTGTAATTTGGTGCTATATCTGTGTGGGGGTGGGTGATGACATTCAGTGTTTCTCTGTGGGGGGTGATGAACGGAGTGCTGAGATTAAAAGACTTCTGATGTAAGTTTTTACAGTCTGGTCATTTGTTGTGTTGTTGTGTCGACAACTGGACCCATGAAAGACAGCCAGCTTAAACCTTCCTAGAACCCCTCAATAACAACGTAGCAATGTCCTGTGCAGGAGCTGACGATGAACCGGTTATATTTAATTACAAAAAGCAAATTTCAGTTTGAAGTTAAAGTGTACGGAACAGCTTGAACTTGCAAAATCACCTGTATAGTCTTTAAATGCTCTTTGTCATCTTCTCTGTGAATAAAAGATTTCCTGCAGTATCTCCAGCATTATGTAACTATAGAATTAACTTTGTGCTGAAACCTCAGCAGTATTTCAATCAGGCAAGTTCTTTAGGGCCCTATGTCATGATTTAAGATGATGAGACAGACATTCTGAATTAAATGCAGTTTCTACATTGAAGCTAAAATTCAGCGTGTCCCTTTTCCCTGTGAGTCGTGACAGTAGCTCAGACTCTTGAATGGCAAGGAGGGATTTAACTGTAGCCTTTAATGTGTGCGCACCCACTGTGGTGACTCATGAGCAAATGACTGAGCTATGCTTGGAATTTAGGTTTCATCTGTGTTTTTGTTTAGAGCCCTTTCTTCCAAGGTCCACCTGATTCACATCTTGCACGATTTAAAAAAACATGTCAACATTCAGCAAAGGCCAGTCATCAAGAACCACTGCAGGCATTTTTCCATTTCTTGTGCCAAAAGTGATCTCTTACACTAAGTGGGAAAATGTACTTAGATCTTTTACTTAAGTAAAAGTAGGAATGCTACAATGTAGAAACACTCTGATACACACTCAAAGTACTCATAATGTAGAATGGTTCATTTAATAATAAGCTAGTAAAGGAGGTCTCCTTTTAATTACTTTATTTACTGCTGGGCAGCTTGTGAAATTCCCCCCAGGGATTAATATTTTATCATTAATCTGAATCTCTAACTAGTAACTAAAGTTATGAAATGTAATAGAATCGAAGTATAAAATAGCAGAGAAAAAAATGCTCAAGTACAGTACAACTACCTGAAAATTATACTTAGTTACTTTCCATCATTGCCTGTTGTGCACAATGTCTCGTGCTTCTGTTTGTGTTCACACAATGAAAAACACAGTGAAGTAAGTGTAAGACTCTTGTGTCCCAAGGACTATGTAAGGTGATACTTCTGCAATACTAGAACTGCTGAAATAAACATGAAGGACTCCCATAGGACACACAAGGCAGTCTGAGGAAACAGCATCTGTTCTACAGGAACACACACATACACAAACATGGATACTCACACAGTCACACAAACACAGATATACATAATAAACTTGCAGACACACATATGAAACTTCAATTTCTGCGGCTCACAATACTAATCAGTAATCTCTAACTGGAATAGTGACTGATTTCTGTTACTGTGAATATAGCAGCTGCTTTTAACATAATTAGATGAGTGTTAAGTTACCGATGGAAGGGATGAGTGACAACTTGCAGAACAATACTCAAAATAAGGATGAGGAAAAATACATGCTAAACTTATCAAATTAATGTATATTTTGTTATGTTGAGCTTCTGTTGTGGCTGCTCAAGAGTTTAATGATGTCGCTTCAAATGGGACCCACAGGGAAACAGGAGAGACTCACTACTATCACCTTACTATTGTCACACACTGGAATACAGTTTCAGACAGGCTCCACAGGTGGGTTTCAACACAAGTGTGTAGACCGACACATTCTGTATATTTAACCACACACATATTCATATATGAACAAACAAAACCATTGAGGTTTTTTTTTAGATACCGACCTTCCTGATAACCACATATGACTAACGCAGGCTGGAGAAAATAATGTGCTGTAACACCTCAAGAAAAGGGACACTGAGGTAAGTTAATCAGCGGACGAAAGTAAGTCAGAAGCATGTCAGCTACAAAACCGTCTTGAAACCAAAAGGTCCACCAACGTAAACAACTAAAGAGGCTGTTGTCTTCGAAAACAACTTATTTGATCATTTTCTGATCCAGCATTTATTTAAGACATGTTCTTATTTGCCACCATAATTGTTAAAGTTTGGTTAAGTTTATGACACTAAAACTACACCACAGCACCTTTGTCATTCCTAGTGATCGACTTAACAACCAATATTGTTGTTTTTCTGGTGAGGACATTGTCCCTGAAACTTGTTTTTTTTTCACAGGCAGGCAACACAACTGCATTGTAAAACTGGAACAACAGTTCAAGATAAAACAGAGATATCACATATAGAAGATGTTGACAAATCTGATTGTATTTGACATATGACCCACTTTTGTGGTGTGCATTATTTTGTCTACCCCCACTGGATCTTTAATCAAATTGGGCTTTCTTCTCCATTGGTCTCGTCTCACATTAATCAACGTTCTGTCTAGATTATAATACAGCCATTGTACATGACAGGCCCCAGAATTTAATCTACAGTGGAGCGGTAAATGAGATGCCCTTCACAGCCGATGTGACAGCACCTTCTATGTGCTGCACGCCTTCCCTTGAACCACCTAGCCTTGAGCGGGGTCACTCAGCTGGAATGGATTCGCACAGGACAAGGTCGGAGGTTCAAACAAGCACATCTCATCAAACGGTGACATGTTAAAGTGTTCAGAGTGAAGGGGTGCGCTGAAGATGGTGTCTGTGTTTAATGGAGGGCACTGCTTCCTTCAGCCTCAACTTTCTCGGTACTAAGGCACACTCACAAGCACATACCCCCTCAGCAGAAATTCACCTAATGCAGGGGACATCTGTCTGATCAAGGATGAAGGATACAGAAAGGATGATGCCGGCCACTCTTACTGGAAACTTGCTCTGAGTGATACTGTCACTCTTTTGGTTTACTTTGTCAGTGTGGGCGTCAAACTACTCTGTAGGTGGATTTGGCTCTGTTTGAACATAACTTGCCTTAGGGAGAACTGCAATATAGTGGATTTACTTAATGGGAATCTGTCCATCACCATTTCTCAACTTGCTGTGCATTCAATTACCACGCTGCCTGCCTGGCTGCCTGTAATTATACTGATCTGGCCAACAGAGCTTTCAAGTTCAAACGGGTGTGTGTAAGTATAACGGTGGTGGTGGATGGAGGGCATCCCTAGAGTTTATTATAAGAGAGGACGGTCATGTGTCATTGGAGTTGCTGCAGTGCCAGCATCCCCGAGGACTTCAGCTCCTAACAGCAAGAGGAACCGCAGTGATTAAGCAGGACGATGTGCTTGCAAATTGATTGCCACAAAGAAATTAATCTCCTTTGTAGGGAAGGGAAGCACGCCAGTCATGTAATTTCTCTTTGTTGATTTTAAGAGTGCTTCTCATAAACATCTGTCTATGAAACACTCAAGAAATCCACAGTCATGTTGTGTGCAGGACTTTGGCAATAGACACGGGATTTGGAGGCACCGGGGCCTAAATGAAGACAGACACATTTGCCCACACAGTCACCACCCTCTGGTCAGGCTGTCAGCATCAATCAGTGTGCGTAATATTTTAATAGGCTGGGGTAATGTATAGCCACTAATCTAAAGACCGCTGACATCCTGCTGGCGGGCGGCCAGGTGGGTTTCCCTCTTAATGTCTGCCCCTTTTCTCCTGTCCCCTCTCTCTCGTAGTGCATCACCCCCCCCCCCCCCCCCCCCCCTTTTTATTGCTCCCCCTTCGGTCTTTCATTACAGCCTTATCACAACTATTAATCTCACACAAGTACTTCACTCAGCGGGTCTTATTGTGAGAGCCACCTGCCCAGAAGTGGGGGGTAATGAATACGAAGATCGCTCCTTCCACATCAGTAAACGCCATCGCCCCATTTTCTTTTCTTTTCTTTTCTACTTTCTTATTGCTTTTGCTCTCCTCTTATTTTCATCTACTCTCATCAGCTCTTACATTTCTGCAAAACCTATCAGGACCATTTTCACCTACTGACCCTAAAACCTGAGACCTTGGAGCTGTGTAGTAGATTGCAAGGGCATCATTGTGTTTCCATTAGAGGTACCATGATGGTATCGAGTTTGGACTGCTGACGTAACTCTACATGTTTCTTGTCATAACAACCCATGCACTGGACAGCTGGAAGGGTGGTGAAACAGGATGCCTGCAATCATTAAACAAATATCCTCAACTGTTTTATTTTCTCACAAATCTAATTTCTGATTTTTTTTCTGTTTAAACTTGTACGTACAGTATTAAACAGAAAGTCATGTTCTGTCTCATTTCTCTGTGCGTGCCACATTTGTCTCTGTCTGTAAATATGTTCTAACAGTAACTATCAGTTCATACATGTCCTTCATCCAATTTTAAAGAGCTTGGAATAGCACATTACACTGCTGTTGAGGGAAAACTCTCCAAAAATCAAACATTTCAGGAGTAAGGAAAAATTGTCATGTTTTAAGCATGAACACCAAGCATATTTTCCAGTTTATCCAGTGGGATTTCAAAGGGTTTCATAAGACCAAATGTGGTAGAGGTTTCTAAAGCCGCAGAGGAGCATGTAATTCTTCGATTGAAGTGAAAACATGAAAATCACCAAAATTGGAGTCACATTTTCACAGGCACTCTCCATGCATCCATCTGCAAATCGAATACTTTTGTTTGCTGACGCCTACATGCTTTCTATACATGGCCCTTTGCAGACCCACTAATGCATACTGTATGCGATGTACATTTTCACATTTCACATGCAGAGACAATCAATGAAATACGCTTGTGTATAGATGAATGCAGAGCTAAGGATGCACAAAATGCACTGCATTGCGCATTCTCCATGATGGCAGAGGGTAAAGCTTTTTGTGCAGGAAGCGCTGGTCTTTGTTGCACTTCAGGGAGATGATATGGAGGGTGAAGGTGCTTTAAAGCTGCATCAGCTCACTGTTATAGTTAAGGAGGCATTGTGTCAGATTAAGTCTTTTTTACACTTCATCCCCTCACTATCAGAGGGCTACAAGCCGGCAGGAAATGTTCATATTGCCTGGATAACATTGTTGCGTCTTCGTCTTTGTTGCCCTGTGTCATTCAATGACTACATTTTCAGCCAACAGTTGTATTATATTTATATTCCTTCAGCCTTATTTCAATTCTATTTCCCAACAGTTATCTGGCTATGTACCACAGCAGATATTAAAGCATCACCCTGTAGTATAATTCCTGTTTTTCTGGTTGTGAATGGATGCTAATAGTAGTACTGGTGAGGCAGTTTTCTGGGTGCAGTAATTATTTTTGATGTAGGGTCACTGTCAAACATTTTCCATAGATAGACAGTATTATCGATGCCATTATAGTGTGTACTGAAAGCATAAAGCAAGTGACATGACATTCATTAGTAAGCAACCTAAATGGGCCATAATAAAATATAATGTAATCTTGAAATGTAATCTTGAATAACAGACAGCAGTGAGTTATTATCATCTGCAAACTCGTCTCTCCTGATTGAAATGGATTCAGTACAGTAATGCATTTGCTGTGTTTTCATGAAATTTCACAAATGCAAATCATCAGACTTAGCGATGTGATTCCATGTGGGTTTGTGCTTCTGCTTTGTTGGTGGGTGCTATAGCTGATGTCAGGATGTAGGCTGAGTGTCTATTTCAACCAAGCACTGACAGTGTGTTTTGTTATGGTGGGAAAAACTGAAGTGCTACTTCGTGACATGTCCTTCTACAGTGCTAACCTGACCTTTTAGAAAAAAAAAAGTAAAGTCTTTGGGGAATGTAAACTAAAATCATTCATTTTCAGTGAATTCCTCAATGTTTTTACTTTCCTGTTTTGAATACAACCCCCATCTCTGACATTTGCTCTTCGAATGCCACCCACTGGCGGGCTCCAGGACAGAAAGCAAAGACAATGTTATGCATTAATGGAAAATTTACAATGGATCGACTGATCTGAAATCACCCTTTTAAGATAGTACTCCTACCCTGTGGAAGAAAAACTGAGAAGAGGGAACTGGTTCTTAAACTTAGTTTTACCGACCAAACAAAAAATAACTTTTACCCGCATCACTATGTACACATAAAGCACCTCCACACATTTTTTATGTTTACTCACATGGTGTTTGTTCTGTTTGTGTGTCTTGAATCTAATGGCAGACTTTTAAATCTGATCCATGGACTGTTGTTGTCTGAGTGCACTTCATGACCCCATCCCCAGCTAGGCACCCTGTTGGCAGGACAAAGAGCGTGTTGTTATATGAGGGGCTTTAGATGTGTAATTACCCCAATCTACTCAGCAGGAAGCTCCATAAACACATAACCACATACCTCCCTGCACCTGAGACTTACACTGACCAGGGAGCAAGACATTCTTCACACCAGCACATAAACACAAGTGACAGCAAACACAAGCATTCAATCCTTTCTCCTTCGGCTGCAGTACCATAAAAATGAGTTCTCATTTCTCACTCTCAGGAGGCAAAAACAAAGAATGTTTTATAGTTACAAGTACATTATGTGCTTCATTAAAACTTACTGTATATTACTAACTGTATGAGAAGATCCATTCTCAGAAATTAAAAAAAATTAATTATCATCTTTTTCCACTGCCAAGTCCATTGAGGAATCTAAGTTGCTTAATTGTGTGTCTGCTGGCTGGAAGATCCTGATATTTGCCTTGAAATTTGCATATTGAGAATTGCATGAAAATGATGACGATTTCCTTTTGACTCACGGGAGTGATCATTTACATTCCAAATTCACACGTGAGAGTTAGGGCCATGCAGGGTAAGAGAGAGTGCAAAAAGAAAAATTAAAGAGTGGGGGATGTGCAGTCAAATGGCCTCCACAATAAATCACGATCATCTTGGAAATCTTGCACACAATTATGATGACCTGTGTGTTTTTTTCACACCAATGCAGACATTTACACATGAAGGTTTTAGTGCACACTTGAAAGGGATAAGCCAGTACTGTGGCAGTGTGTCATGCTCACATAAAAGCACTTCCTGTTAATGAGAGATCTAAAAAAGCTGGATCAACCAGTTGGTACTGGGCTATTGGCACCAAACAAATCACTAAACTGTCACACACAAAGCCACCGAACAAAATAAGAAATCACTGTCTCACACATATTTGCACACACAACCACACACATACGTAAGATATCTTCATTTTAAAGAATTCGAAGTAGCTCTAATTGAGGAAACATGCTGTCACATGCGTGAAAGACACATGACCTCTGGGTAGGATTTGCATATGAGATCAAGGTTTAAAGACACAGCCTGACATACAAGCATTTTTAATGTTGTGAGTGCTCATTTTTCTTCAATCATTCTTTATGTGTGGGCAGGGGACAATGTAAATTATGTATGTGTGTTTTGCTGATTTAGAAGATTATGGGTTTTGAATATGTTCAAGGGGACAACAATGCCAGAAACACAAGAAAACTGTGAATTCAAGTTTGCTAATACTATGTGTTATTTATTTGATAATTTACCAACTGTGTTAAATGCCCTAATTATTCAGGAGCAGTAATATATACTTAATTGCTGACAGATCTACATTTTATCAGTTTAAAATCTACAGCCATGCTGGCGGCTCTGAGAGGCTGTAGTTAGGCACAGAGGAGCTTTGCATTAAATCAACATGCTAGCACACTTACAATGACAATCTAACATGCAGATAGCAGGTATAATGTTTATCATGTTCATCATCTTAGTTTAGTGTATTAGTATGCAAACACTTTCTATTTGCAGTATGTACACAAAGAACAGTTGGTACTGGTGCAGGCTGGTGGGAATGTCATTAGTTTTGTCATTAGTTTTGAACTAGTATTGGACAAACTCCAAAAACTGAGCTGATGATGGTGCCACATGAAATGAAGAGGGATCAACATAAGTCATGACAATTTATCCTGAGGCGGACATGCATGTCTTTCTTTGCAAAACATCTAACAGTTTTTTTAGATATACAGGTGAAACTTGAAAAATTAGCATATCATTTATTTCAGTAATTCAACTTAAAAGGTGAAACTAATATATTATATAGACTCATTACATGCAAAGTGAGATATTTCAAGCCTTTATTTGATATAATTTCGATGATTATTGCGTACAGCTTATGAAAACCCCAAATTCAAAATCTCAGAAGATTAGAATATTACATAAAATCAATTAAAAAAAAAGGATTTTAAATGCAGAAATGTGATCCCTCTGAAAAGTATAATCATGCATATGTACTCAGTACTTGGTTTGGGACCCTTTTGCATGAATTACTGCCTCAATGCGACGTGGCATGGATGCTATCAGCCTGTGGCACTGCTGAGGCGTTATGGAAGACCAGGATGCTTCAATAGCGGCCTTCAGCTCTTCTGCATTGTTCGGTCTCATGTCTTTCATATTTCTCTTGGCAATGCCTCATAGATTCTCTATGGGGTTCAGGTCAGGCGAGTTTGCTGGCCAATCAAGCACAGTAATCCCATGGTCATTGAACCAGGTTTTGGTACTTTTGGCAGTGTGGGCAGGTGCCAAGCCCTGCTGGAAAATGAAGTCAGCATCTCCATAAAGCTCGTCTGCTAAAGGA